TACCCATTGAACCATCCCACTAGCCCTCAAATTTGAAATGTTAATGCCTATCGTTCAGAAGAATGCAGTGAAAGACACTCTCCCAGGACTGGTCGTGGAAGCCCAAGCCACTGTGCCTGCTGTGTGGGGCAGTTTCAACAGCCTCCAAAGCCTGCACATCTTTTCTTCTGTCTAATGTCCAAGAAAAACATATCCAAAAGATAAAAATCAGGACGTTCAGAGTCAGAGTCAGTATTACTGTTAATAACCGACACAGTTTAAAAAAGGGGGGTGGGATTAGCTAAGTCATATTCAACATACATTGAAACACGAGATCTGTAAGAAGTTTACTGACAAGGAAAAATGTTCACAATTAACTGTTAAGTACAAACAACACAGTACAATATATACAGTGGGGACCCATTTGCTGAAAATGTATGTGTGGACCAGTGAGATGACTCAGTGAGTAAAGGTACTTGCCGCCAGGCCTGACAACCCAAATTCAATCCCCAAGTAGCAGAGAACTGACTCCCATAAGCTGTCCTCTGACCTACACCTACACCTACACACACACACACACACACACACACACACACACACACACACACACGATATATACAATAATAAATAAAAAACATAAATAAAAATGGACATGTATATATACATAGAGTTACACAGGGGAAAAGATCTTAAAAGGACAAATGTTAGCAACAAACACCTCTGACGAGTGTTTTTTGGTTGTTTTGTTTGTTTTGAGACAGAGTCTCCCTGTAGCCCTAACTGGCCTGGAAACTGACCAGGCTGGCCTCTATCTCACAGAGATCCACCTGCCTCTGCCTCCCCAGTGCTGGGGTTAAAGGCGTGCGCCACAACACCCAACCCAGTGAGCGTTCTTATTGTAATTTTTCTATTTCTTTCATTGTGTTTTCTACTCTTACAAGCCTTGATGGCCCCCTTACCATCCTTTAGGGTCCCCCTTTGCTCCTAAGCATTACACTCACTGCAGCACACAGCATGAGTCTCTGCTGCTGTTTAATTTTTGACTTTGTTTTGGGGCGGGGGTTTTTTTTTTTTGGTGTTGGGCATTGAACTCGGTCTCATGCAAGTACCCTACCAACTGAGCCACATTCCCAAGTTTAATCTTGCCTCCTCTGTTCATTACACCAAGGGTAAATCTCCCATTTCTTTTTGCTCCTCTCAGTGCCTATAGCACAGAGCATGCTCTTAGCAAACAGCCCAAGAAAGAATGCGTGACTTTGTCCACACCCGTGTGTGCCCATGCCCACGTAGGCTGGCTGAGCTCGGCTGGCCCAGCCAGTCTAGCTGGCCCCATGGCTGTGCCACCTGGTCAGTTCCAGCCAGGCTTGTGACTATGTTGTGGTCTCCTGTCATTCTAATCTATGAAGGTGCCAGTTCTTGCTAATTATTGCTGAGTGACAGGGCTGTCTGTTGAAAGAGCCAGTTGCTGCCCCACCCCCGGAGCAAGGTGAATCCTAGGACATTCAGTAATTAATGATCCAGTGTTTCCTCTTATTTCCAGTACTCAGCTGGCATTGGTCTGACAGACACCCCCACCCCTGCAGCTTCACCCCAGCTAGGACTCCTCACCATGGCTGTTGGAGGCCTACTTTAGGAAGCACCCCACCAACCAAACTGTAGACCTGCTCTGACCAGGCTAGCTCTTGTCCTGAGCAATACAGTCTTCTTGCAAGTTAAGCTGATCTACTAGCCAAGTTGCTGCTTCTCTGGCTCAGAGACCCCAGAGAAATCAGAGGCGTCTTTGATTCAAATCCAACAAGCAAAGCCCCACACTGTCCTTAGTCCTGGTGATCCATACTCACTTCAGTTTTACTCCATAGCAAAAAATAAAGATGCCATCATTTTCTTCACAGTGGCACACACGTGTATCCTAGCACTTGGGAGGTGGAGGCAGGGGGATCAGGAGTTCAAGGTAATCTTTGGCTATGTAGTAAGTTCAAAATCAGCTTGAGCTACATGAGACCCTGTCTCAAAAAACCCAAAGAAAGAAATACTATTTTCTGGGTGAGCACTGTGACACATACTTTGAGTCTCAGAACTCAGGAGGCTGAGGCAGGAGGGTCACTTGAGCCCAGGAGCCCAAGACCAGCCTGGGTAACACAGGGAGACTCCACCTCAGAAAAGGAGAGGAGAGGAGGGGAGGGGAGGGGAGGAGAGAGAAAAGAAATTCATTTTCTTTTTCTGTAAATAATCTACTACCAACTTATTCTTATTGAAAGCATTATACATTGTATGACAATTTTTAAAATTTTGCTGTATATTTTCTTTTGAATATTCATTTTCATATAAAGTAGGTTATTTTTTCCTGTTGGAAACCAGGCTTTCTGGAACTTCAGCTTCCTCTCCTCTCACTTTCCACCTTAGCCCAGCTTCAGCTCCTTCTTCATCTGCCATCTTGGGATCCAGGCATTTGGGCAAGCCTCAGTCCTCTGCTGAACTGATGTCACTGGTTCCTGCTGACATCACCTCATGAGTCCTGAGAGCTCAGACAGCCCCATCTGTAGGCATTGTCTTCTACCTGTTTTATTCAGGGAGTACCCAGTGCTAAGCACAGTTGTCTGGCACATTGCATGTGCTCAGGAAGACGCTATTAACTAAACATGAGAACACTGCTGAGCACCCTGCCTGTCCCACGTTCCTGATACATAGGCTTTTACTGCACTTAGGGCTGTTTGTTTTGCAGTAGTGAGGGCAGAATACAGGACCTCTAGCATGGCAGACTCATGGTGTAATTACATACATGCAGGCAAAACACAGATACACATAAAATTAAAATAAGCTGGGTGTGGTGCCCATACTTTTAGTCCCAGCACTCGGGAGGCAGAGGCAGGAGGATCTCTGTGAGTTCAAGGTCAGCCTGGTCTACAGTGAGTTTCAGGCCAGCTGGGGCTACAGGGAAACACTGTCTCAAAAAGACCAAAAAAATAATTACTTAATTAATTAAATTTAAATTAATTAAAAAAAATTTCAGACGGGTGCAATGGCTCAGCTGGTAAAAGCACTCGCTGTACAAGACTGGAGACCTGAGTTCAATCCTCAGCATACATGTAAAGGTGGAAGGAGAGAACTGACTCCACAACATTGTCCTCTGACCTCCACATGTGCCCACATACATCATGTACGTACCCTCACACACACACACAAATAATAATAAATAAAAATAGATTTTGTTTGGGGTTGGAGAGATGGCTCAGCAGTTAAGAGCACTGGCTGCCCTTGCCAGGGTTTGATTCCTAACACTCACATGGTGGCTAACAACCATCTGTAACTACAGTTTCAGGGAATCCAACGCCCTCTTCTGACTCCAAGGGCATTGCACAACACGGGTGCACCTACACATAAGCAGGCAATGCACTCGTACATACAAAATAAAAATAATAAACATTTTTTAAAGAAATAAGTTTTTTTTCTAAAGCTGAGGTATAGCTTAGTGCAGTGCACTTGCCTATCATGGGCAAGGCCTTGGGTTGAATCCCAGGCACTGCCTACCTTCTGAAAAACACGGATTTTGTTTTCTTTTTCTTTTTCTTTTTCTTTTTTGGTCCTTTTGAGACAGGGTCTGCCTGTAGCCCTAGCTGGCCTAGAACTCACTATGTCACTATGTAGACCAGGCTGCCCTTGAACTCACAGAGATCCGCCGCCTTTGCTGGGATCAAAGGCATGCACCATGCCTGGTGAAG